CGGCGCCGCGGCTCCTCTGAGCCGTTCGCTTTGAATCAAGCGGCCGCGGCGATTGGCTGTGAGGCGCCCGGGCCACGCCCCTCCGGACCCGCCCGGGCTCCGGGCCGCGTGGGGCAGAGTCCGGCTCCCGCTGCCCCCCGGGTCCGGGGTAGAGCGGCCGGGCACCGGGGAGACGCCCAGGGCTTGGGTCTGTTTGGCCCTGCAGCCAACGAGAAACCCTACAGCCAACGAGAACCCTACAGCCGGCTTTGCCCTACAGACAGTGTCTCCGGGGTGTCCCAAGTTGCGCCCCTTCTCACCCCACTGTCCTCCCTCCGGGGGTCCCATTCGGCGCGCGGACTGTGTGCGCCCAGGGCGCGTGCCGCGGGCCCCCGCTCGCGCTCCTCGCCACCCTTTCTGGAGCCTCCCGGGGGCTCGGGGCTGCCCTCGCCGGCCTGCCCAGGGTGCCTCGGCTTTGGGTCTGTCCCTTATCGGGGCCGGGCCAACGGGGCTCAGACACTCTGACCCGGGAAAACTTTTCACTCGCAGCAGACATCCCTGCTGGGGACACGTCCACTCGCGGTCCCCGAGGGCTGCAGCTGTTCGCCGATGGCTGAGACACTGCGTCCGCTTTGTCTCCCTTCTCCGCAGTCCCCCACCCCCGCTTCCTTTCCCGATTGACTCCCCCGACACGCTCTTCTCCAGCTTTCTCCTCCTCCGCCTCCTCCTCTCCCACCTCCGAAGGCTGCCTCCCTTCCTCCCCTCTCTCCCCGGTGTCACTCACACACACCCACCCTCCCCTCCCCGCCCCTCCGCGCCGCCCCTCTTATAGCCGGCGCTCCCGGCCCGCCGCGCACTGCTCGGGCAGCCGAAGCGGCGCGGCCGGTCGGTGCGGAGACCCAGTCCGGACGCCAGGCGGCTGCCGGCGCGCGCGGCGCTTCCCCGCTCCCTCCCCCGAGCACGGCCCGCCTCCTGCCGCGGCGCCTGCGGCCGCGGGCCGGCTCTCCCCGCCCGGGACACGCTCCGGGACACGCTCCGTGGGTCGCGGACCCAGAGCCCGCGGCGTGGGGATCGCGCGTCCCTCCCCGCGGCCGGCGCCTGGCACGCAATCCCTTCGCCCGTGCAGATCGTGCCCGCTCCCTGCCCGGCGCTGAGACGTCCGCTCCGGCGCCTCCCGGCCCGGCGACCGAGGCCGGAACCCAGCTTAGTTGTTCCCTGAGGCCGGCCGTCTCTGCTGTAAGTTCCCCCCGCCGCCCCGGACCTGTTGCGGGCTCCGCGGGTTTCGGGGCACGCTTGGCCCGTGTGTGGGGGTGTGCGTTCGCGAGGGGGGTGCGCAGCCCGGAGGAGATGGGGAGCCCTTGTTGGGGTGGAGACCTCCGTGTTTTGCGATGCCCTCCCGCATTACAAGCAGGAGCCGGGCACCGCCGGAAGGGCCTGCCCTGGGCGGCACAGCGCCCCGGGGAGCTGGTGGGGGATCGGGGTGCGCCGCCTGGGAATGGTACCCGCCCTCCAGCCCCCTGCCCTCGGGAAGCGGCGCTTCCCTGGGGGTGCACTTCCCGCTGCCTCGTACCTCCCCGTCTCCAGGGCCCAGCGCGCGGGGTTGCTGGCCCACGTTGCGCGCTACCCGGCGGAGGGAACCTTGGCTTGGGCCACGCGCAGACATCCATGCTGCCCTGCTGCGGACACGTTCACTTTGGCGAAATGTCTAGGAAATGAATGAAACCTGGAATTTTTCCCCCTGAAAAATTAATTTCTTCTCATGCAAAGGGCAGTCTTTGGCCATTAGTGTAACATTATTCGTTTCAAAGGACAGGAATTGGTGGGCGGGGTGGGGGTGAACCATTGAACTTGTTGGGCTTGTAATTTGCTGTCGCTCTCAAACCCGGCCAGCCTGTTAAAGAGCCTTGCAAGGGTTTTGAGCGTTTTAAGGGGGCTGCATGGGGAAATGCTTTTCTTGCTAAAAAGATCTTTTCATAATGTTGTTTCCAATAATGTAAATGCTCCCCCGCCCCCCCCCCCCCCCCCAAAAAAAATCTGTTTCGTTTCTCCTTTGATTGCATTGAGATCAGGTTCAAAAACATAAGAGATGTGACAGGGACCTCCAGAATTGGAGGCAGAGAGCGTAGGTAAGGAGTTTTACCTGAACTGAAGTTCCTGTACCTAGAAGCCCTTTTGATGTTCAGGGTAATAGCAGCCCTTTTCTCATCTTTGCAGGTTAAGTATATGTGTGCATTTTTTGGACACTTACTTGGCATGCAAATATTTCTCTGGGGGCTTAGAAAATGCCAGAAGGATGATTCATTTGAGGTTGAAGGTGTGCTTAGCTCCACCTTGATGTTATCCAAGGTGACAGGCTAGGTTCTTCCTTTTGGCTTTAAGGGCCAACCAGGAAAATGCAGGTGCATCAACACAGGATGCACAAGATGCAGATCCTCAGGTCTTCTTCAGTTTTGTTAAGGGTGGGCCTGATTGTGAGTTGACATTACCAGGTATTTAATACTCAGGGAAACGTGTTCTGGGCTTCTGGGATTCCTGCCTTTTGTGCTTCTGGTGTTTATGCACCTTGTGTTTAGGTCCCTCATTCTTCAGCCAGAGCTGCATTTGCACTTAGCCTTTATGGAGACAGCTTTTGAGGTTGCTTTGGCAGTATTTGCTTTAAGAAACAAAGATATAGCTACTCATTTGGGATTTTTGTAAGATTTTTATAGCATCTTTTAAAAAAATATGTATATTTTATTGATTTTACACAGAGAGAAATTGAGAGGGAGAGAGAGTTAGAAACGTCAATAAGAGAGAAACATCGACTAGCTGCCTCTCACACCCCCCCCACTGGGTATGTGCCGCAACCAAGGTACATGCGCTTGACCGGAATCGAACCCAGGACCTTTCAGTCTGCAGGCCGACGCTCTATCCACTGAGCCAAACCGGTTTCGGCTATAGCATCTTTTGATCTTAAAATCTTCCTCAATGTACTTCGGGTAAAATGCACTAATTCAAGTGACAAGTTACCGTGGTAAAGCTTCAGGGATACCAGTAGATGTTTTAACACTTTGGAAACCTGGTGCATTCCCATAGGATCCTACCCGTTGTTCTTGCAGCCGGAGCACCGGTGAGAAAAAGGACTAGGCTGGCAGAGGCGTGGCTTGAGATGGGGGTGAAACTTGGCTCCTTACCATTAGTTATATCTGGGAGACTAATAGGAGACTAATGGGTGTTTGTAAAGTCTTGGTAACGCCAGAGCCGTAACGCCAGAGCCCGGGACTGGGTTGCTTGTTTTCCTCCACTAAGCCATGTTTATGCGTAATGAAAAGTTACATTCTGAAAATAAAGGGAAACAAGTTGCATCACTTAGTGGTATGCCGCCCGTGTGTTAAGGGTAAGTGAGGCACCTGCTTTTGTTTCCTGTGACACAGGTGGACAGGGAAGTGCAGCTTGGTATCTGTGGTCAGTTACTCATTTGCATTTGTTCATCATTCCTGGGATATAAATTAAACATAAATACCCGAATGGCTAGAGGAAATAAGCAGGCCTTAGGTTTCAGCTGTGCTATAAGGACTGGCTGTTCAGAGCTTGGAATAGATACTGTAACCACCACCCAGGTTACTCCCCTGGGATAAACAACTTCCTTAGGAATCCTTTGACAGGCAGATGCTTAAAGCCTTTATTCCTTTGAAGTAAAAGAGAGGTAGAGTGTTGTGACTGTATGTGTGTGTGTGTGTGTGTGTGTGTGTGTGTGTGTGTGTTTTAAGCATGTGGTTCAATTTTTGAAGATTGGTGATAGGGATTTCCTACGTCTTTAGCCTGCAATTTACTCACCGAGGTAAGCCGAAGATAGCATTAGATTCTGCTGTAATTTCAATTTAGATACTGAGAAAAAGAACCCTTGAGTCAGCAAATAAATTCTAGGGTGGCCCAAGATTAACAATGGCTGGCAAAATACACATGCATGCATAGTCTATGCACATTTGTGTGTGTATGTGTGTATTTTTTTTTTATTTAGAGAAGGCAATGTTTGCATCTCAAACTCCCTATTTGCAGATGCCGGCATTAGCAGGTAATAAGAATGGTCCTGGTGATGCATTTCTAAATCAAAGAGAGGGGCAGATAGATCCTTTGTTCTTGCAACCGGTTTTCCAAGAATTGATATAAAGCAGGTAGAACAAAAAAAACAGCGCTCATGAGAATGCTAAAAAATATTTTTTTATTCTATGTGCCTAAACCCTCATTTTGGAAGCTGTCCAGAGCAAGAAAGATGAGTAGTGATTGTGATCAGAATCTATTCTGTGTCTTCACTAAAGCCTGCTGATCAATAGATGGTGTCTATTAGGATCCACTTTTAGGATTCTGTAGTGGTAGAGCTGTCTGATTGGGAATAATCTGTACTTTACATAAGGATCCTGTCACTGGAGAAGCTGCCTAAGCCTGTGCCTTTAATGTTCCATTTCCTACTCATTGTATATTGCAGGGAGACCGCATCTTAACCAAAGGAGTTCTTAATGGAATTAATTAGCAGGTATTTGTTTTACACATGGCTTTATGTTGCATAGGGCATTATAGCTGGTGCCTCTCCTGGCGTTACGAGGGCTGGAGGCCTGGCATTGTAAGTGGCCCGCAGTGAATCAGCTGGACAGGGACAGGGAGCTGTGAGAATGAGACCTCGCTTTTCCCGGCTTATGCTGACATGCAATTCTCAAGGACTTCAAGATCCTGGAAGTTGGCAGTCAGGTTTTCCAAGATGAACCTGCTTTCAAGCAGTGATTTTTTTTTTTTTTTTTTTTAACAGTGTATATAGCTCAAACAGCTCAGCAGTATGGCCGGGAATGCCTCTCCTTACAGGTAGTTGTCTCTGACTCGGTGACAGGAATGGCCACCCATGATTCGGAACTGGAGGCAAGCAGAGCTCACAGCAAAAACAGTCCTGTTTCCTCTGCCCCAAAGGATCGCTACTTTGTACTGCTGTTTTACACATATGGGGAGCCCCCCTCAGTGGTTTTGTTTTGTGTTCCAGGAGTGGAAACAAAATGTCAGTCAGCGTGCACGAGAACCGCAAGTCCCGGGCCAGCAGCGGCTCCATCAACATCTACCTGTTCCACAAGTCATCCTACGCGGACAGCGTCCTCACCCACCTGAACCTCCTGCGGCAGCAGCGCCTCTTCACCGACGTCCTCCTCCACGCGGGAAACAGGACCTTCCCCTGCCACCGCGCCGTGCTGGCCGCCTGCAGCCGCTATTTCGAAGCCATGTTCAGCGGCGGCCTGAAGGAGAGCCAGGACAGCGAGGTCAACTTCGACAACTCCATCCACCCCGAGGTCTTGGAGCTGCTGCTCGACTACGCGTACTCCTCCCGGGTCATCATCAACGAGGAAAACGCCGAGTCGCTCCTGGAAGCCGGCGACATGCTGGAGTTCCAGGACATCCGGGACGCCTGCGCCGAGTTCCTGGAGAAGAACCTGCACCCCACCAACTGCCTGGGCATGCTGCTGCTGTCCGACGCGCACCAGTGCACCAAGCTCTACGAGCTGTCCTGGAGGATGTGCCTCAGCAACTTCCAGACCATCCGCAAGAACGAAGACTTCCTCCAGCTGCCCCAGGACATGGTGGTGCAGCTCCTGTCCAGCGAGGAGCTGGAGACGGAGGACGAAAGGCTCGTGTACGAGTCTGCAATTAACTGGATCAGCTACGACCTGAAGAGGCGCTACTGCTACCTCCCCGAGCTGCTGCAGACGGTGAGGCTGGCGCTCCTGCCGGCCATCTACCTCATGGAGAACGTGGCCATGGAGGAGCTCATCACCAAGCAGAGGAAGAGCAAGGAGATCGTGGAGGAGGCCATCCGGTGCAAGCTGAAGATCCTGCAGAACGACGGCGTGGTCACCAGCCTCTGCGCCCGGCCTCGCAAGACTGGCCACGCCCTCTTCCTCCTGGGAGGGCAGACTTTCATGTGCGACAAGCTGTATCTCGTGGACCAGAAGGCCAAAGAGATCATCCCGAAGGCCGACATCCCCAGCCCCAGGAAAGAGTTCAGTGCGTGTGCCATCGGCTGCAAAGTGTACATCACCGGGGGCCGGGGGTCCGAGAACGGGGTCTCGAAAGATGTGTGGGTGTATGACACCCTGCACGAGGAGTGGTCCAAAGCCGCCCCCATGCTGGTAGCCAGGTTTGGCCACGGCTCTGCGGAACTGAAGCACTGCTTATACGTGGTCGGGGGCCACACGGCCGCCACGGGCTGCCTCCCCGCCTCCCCCTCCGTCTCCCTGAAGCAGGTGGAACACTATGACCCCGCGACCAACAAGTGGACCATGGTGGCCCCGCTCCGAGAGGGCGTCAGCAATGCGGCCGTGGTGAGCGCCAAGCTCAAGCTGTTCGCTTTCGGCGGCACCAGCGTCAGCCACGACAAGCTCCCCAAGGTCCAGTGTTACGATCAGTGTGAGAACAGGTGGACGGTGCCGGCCACCTGCCCCCAGCCCTGGCGGTACACGGCGGCCGCCGTGCTGGGGAACCAGATTTTCATTATGGGGGGAGACACGGAGTTCTCCGCCTGCTCTGCGTACAAGTTCAACAGCGAGACTTACCAGTGGACCAAGGTGGGGGACGTGACGGCAAAGCGCATGAGCTGCCACGCCGTGGCCTCCGGGAACAAGCTCTACGTGGTGGGCGGGTACTTCGGCATCCAGCGGTGCAAGACTCTGGACTGCTACGACCCGACGCTGGACGTGTGGAACAGCATCACCACGGTCCCCTACTCCCTGATCCCCACCGCGTTCGTCAGCACCTGGAAGCACCTGCCTTCCTAAGCGCGGTGCGCCTCACAGGAAGTGAGCCAGCACGAGGTAAGCAGTCCGTGAGGCTGTAAGTATGCGTGTAACGAAGGTAGCTGTGCAAGTTTGCCTGCGGCCCGAGGCATGGTCCATAGAGCCTATCCTATAGAAGTACTGCAAAAACTTCAAAAATAAATGAGGTTGTATCCCAGAACTTAAAACACTTGTGTGGACCACAGCTGCACACATACCCCGCCCCCACACTCTCACATGTGTAAGCCAGTGGTCTCAGCCTTTACTGAGCCTCAGCATCTCCCAAAGAGCTTTGCATAAGCTGCCCAGCCTGGAGACTTGGTTTCGTGTGATCTGAGCGGACCCCGGGAATCAGCATTTTGCAAAGTTTCCCGTGGTTCCAGGGGACACCAGGTTGAGAAACCCAGACCTGTGCTTGTAACGCCAACTAGTATTCAGGGAGCCCTCGCTGCGTGTCTGGAGCTGGGCTGTGTTCACAAGGATCGTTTCATTGAATCCTCAACGCAGCCTTGTGAGGTATCATTCCTAGTGCCCTTCACAGGAAAACACTTCGTGCACACAGAGGGAAGCCGCCCGAGGTCACAGAGCTTAGTGGGCGCAGGAATTGGTCCAGAAATGTACCCAGGCAGCCTGGCTCCAGAGAGAGGGTGCTGACTCTGAAAGGCTGCTCTGAGAGCAGGTTAACGCGAGCACTCGGGCATCATGCTGAACTGCCCCTTTATAAACTTGACTCCATATCGCTGTCACCCCCAGGAGATACTTGTTGATATACGTTTTGCTTCCTCAAACCCTTTCTGGAATGAAATGTGGTTTTTTAAAATAAAATTGAGTGCTCAAATTTATTCTTAGTGTATTCACTCCAAAAGTATTTACTAGGCTGTTTAATTTTTTTCTCAGATGTGTTAACGCTGGAGGGGAATTGAGGTCTGCCCCCGTAAAAGGCTGCACCTGCCTTGTATGGGTTGGCCTGATGTGTGGACGTCCTGAGCCATCTAAACTGCTCTTACAGCAGCCGCCTTTCAGAGTTAATCAGACAGGCTGACCCCATTGTCAGCGCCAACAAAAGTTGTGCTTCTGTGTCATATATCCGAGTACATAATGGTTGTCTTGTGTACTTAAGAGTATATAATACTCTTGGCTCAAATAATTAATAGGCATGCACAGTGCGGTGTTCGCAAAGCTGTCAGGCAGTCTTAGGATCATCGCAGGAATGACTTCAGCAGGTCTGCGGGCAGCGCAGAGCACAGTGTGTTGATTTGTTTTGTTGATTCCCGGGCCCATTCATTACAATTACTAATGATAGACTAAAATTAAAACACTGCTTCAGAGGGGCTACCGTGAAAACTCCTTCCTTGGAAGCTTTTGGCTCTGTTTTCTCTAGCAGGTCTCACACCTTTGAAGGGAACTTTTCAAAGGAAAGAAAAGAAGCTAGGGGTCGTGGCCACCTAAGCAAAGTGGGGTTTTCACTCATTTGTCTTTTCTTTCCTCTTCTCTCACAGCTCATTGAAAAACACCACGAAAACTGGCCTCACTTTCACACGTAATCTCTCTATCTCATTTCTGCAGTTATCTCCTCCAGCCTATTCCAGTCAGTAGCGTTCTTAGCCATGTAATGTTTCCTCGGAATGAAACTCCTCCAGAGGCGCAGGCACAGCCAGGAGCCTCTCTGGGGAGCGAGTTGGCGAACGGCGCCCCACACCAAACTGGTTTTTGCAGCCTCGCTGGCATCTCAGTAATCCTGAGTAAACAAATGCTCTGCAAGTGGTTATTTCATTGGTGATACGAATGCATGACTCACCTCTAAAGCTGCTTTAAAGAACCTCCGAGGGTAAAGCATCAATTAACAGCACACTGAGTTGGGTGTTAGTCCAGAACCGATTCTGTTTGCACAGGGGAGCCATAAAAATTGCCAAATTGCCAGTGGTGGCAGTACGTCAGAATGCTCGCTGGTGGAATGGGGTGGAAGCCTTGGAGCAAGGTAAGGAAGTTGAGGCAGAAAGAGATGACATGTGCATTCTGGTTCTGATTCTATGCTGGAGTCTGGACCTTTCTGGATTTGGCTCCTTTGTCCAGTGAGTGGTTTGCATTATATTTCCCCTAAGATCTGTTCCCAGTTCAGGCTTGAGTAAATTGATGAGGGAAGGTTGGGAAGGGGGGGCGAAAATACCTAGCCCAGAGCCTGGCTTATACCAGTAGTATAATAGTCTTAGGTTTCTTTCCTCCCTTCCATGTAGACCTCAGCTTGCAATGGAATTAGCTTTGTGTGTGGCAGGGAAAATGAGGTGTCTCTGCCTATTATATTCTGGTTCTCTTTAGATTTCATTTTTGGTGCCTCATTTTCCTCAGCCCAGTGTATGCAAACACTTGGATATATCTTATCCTGAAAAATTTGAACCCTGTCATACACTTCTGGTCCCAAAGCAATGGAGCAAAGGGAGTGTTGGGTTCGATGTGAAATAACATCTTCGCCCTTGGTGCTAGCAGCCGGAGAGTCCAGCATAGAACAATGAAATTGGACAGGGCCAGGGTCGCCTTCTGGCCTGATCAAAGCCACTCTTGCAGTTTCCCACAGAGAGGGTGCTGCTTAAAATTGCTAAAGATTACTACACGCAGACAGCGTTAAAACGCTTATGCTACATGGAGTGAAAAGAGGTGCTGCCGTAGGTATCACTCCACGGCCGCCGAAACTTCGGGACATGTCTTTGCTCCCCAAATGGAGGTGTTGAAGGAACTAATACAGTATGAACAAAAAGTTTGCCCCTGGTCTAAAAGCTCATCCATCAGGGAGATTTTGACTGACTCCTGCTGCTCTGACAACGGGTGGGATGGGCAGAAAGGAAATTGCTTTTGATAAGTCTGCATTTTCATGGTGCTGTGTGGCCCCAACCTGAGAGCATTTAGATTTTGCTTTGTTTTCTTTCTTCCTTTTTTTTTTTTTTTTTTTTTTTTTTTTTTTAGAGTTTTCCCTTTCTTTTGGTGGTTCTCTCCCCCTCTTCCTCCCTTTATATTATTTCAAGATACATTCTTTTGGCCTACTGTTGATATATAGATTATAAGGAGATGGGGGCAGGGGCATGACACTGTAGTCTAAAGAATGCCTTGAGAGCTTGAATCACTGTTATGAAACTGCCTAAAGAAACAGCCAAAGAAATGAATCAGAGCCCTAAACACACAAAAGCAAGAAGAATTCAAGCGCGGCCCCTCCTGAGTTCCCTTTGTGAATAGAGGGATGGCCGTCGGGATGCGGATTCCTACCAGGCCTGGAAATGGGCTTCGTGAGGGTGACCGTGTGAAAGATGCACCGTTTGCAAAATTTTCCCTGTATCAGATTAGACTAGACGAGAGGGGAGGGTGGGTGGTGTGAGGAAACGCCAGCTCCCGTGAAAAGTGCAGGCTTCCTGGTTGTGGCACCTTGAATTTGTATTCACACTTGTCGTTGGTGGATTCCGTAGGTAGCCATAGCTGGTGCCTCCCAAGTGTGGACTGATGCACTTTGAGAATAAACTCCAGCCTTGGGCTATTAGAGCCAGGGATGTTGTCATCCGAAAGGAAGCAAGACTGATTTCTGCCATAATGAATAGCAGAGATGCATTTAAATGAGAGGATTAATACGTCTGCCGTCTATATGGCGAATAAATTGCATTTGGAATCCTTTACGGTAAATGGGCAAAGGAAGGTTTGCACAGGAATCTTGGCCCCCTGGCGATGGCTGCACAGTGGCTCTGCTTTGCCTCGGAGAGGAATTGCAGGTGTTGGAAGCAGAAGATGGCAACTGATAGCAGCACCGAGACATATAGCTTTGGATTTGAACGGATATGTTTAGGAAAGACGTGGAGGCCGTTCTGTGGATCCCATTGTGTCCGTCGGGCCAGCCATCTGCATGCATGCATGCATGTGTGTGTGCATTTATAACAAGCACTTCACATGCCTGCACGGTTTCTTCTGAACATGTAATTAAGACCTTTAGAAGCAATATTGACCAGCTCTGTCCTGAGTTTTAATTTAATTAATTTATTTTTTCAGATTTTGAGGTTACTAACAAACATGTCTTCCCTCTTTTTTAGCTCAAGAAATGATTTCTGTTTTGGAGAGGCCAAATTTAATGAAGGGAAAGGAGGAGAAAAACAAAACAAAAGAAGAAGAAGTTGCTACAAGACCTGGATTGTACGATTGGCTGCACCTTGTAAATGCTCCAACTGGACATGAAGGAAGGGGGTGGGGGAGGGGTGGGATTTTCAGTGCAAGTAGCACATGGTTTAAATATGAATGAATGAACCTGTGATCTAGTCCTTGTCTTGTAATTGTGGATTAATGTCAGCATTAATCAGCCCCTCAAAGGGAGAGAAAAGCCGGGCCCTTTCCCTTGCTGTACCATATTCAGCGTTTGATTTCCATGGGCTCCACCATTTATGTGTAAAATTTGAAATGGTTGTCACCTCTCTCTGAGGAGCAAGCTTGAAGCCTCCTCGCCAGCTGCCGTTGGAGATTGAAAGCCCGACTGGAGGGCCGGGAGGAAAGCTGGTGCTGGCTGCAGAGGAGCCCTGGGCCCGCCAGTCTCCGAGGGGTTGTGCTCCCCACAGGAAGGTTCTGAACAATGGGGGCGTTGTTGGTAGCTGTTTGGTAGACGATCTTTTCTATTTATAAGTGACTTTAAGCTTTCCCTGGGCTGGTAAGAAATGTGTTATAGATTTAGCTATTTATTGTTCGATGCCTGCATGCTGAAAACAATGCTTACAGTTGTGTTCACGTGTATGGACGTGTGTGATGGTTGTATGTTTTGCACAATTTTTTTGTGGCTGTTGTGATGTGCTCTGCTGCACAAAAAGGAAAACTTTGGAGTTACAGTTTGCAATATAACTGGAGGGTGGGTTGGGAGGGTGGGGGTTGTTTTGTAAATGTCAAGACAGAGAAGGATTACAAAACAGAAACTTAAATTACACCCAGGAGGTAGGGAAGGCATGGAGGTCACATTTCTTAGACTTGCCAACTTCTCATGGTGTCTC